CCCCCAGCGCCAGCCCCACCACAGCCTCTGGGCTTTATAGCGAGGCCGAGTGGACTCACAGCCCCAAATCTGTGGGGTTACGAGGGTGGGACGAGGCACTGCAGAGGGGCTCCTGCACCCCTCGGCACTCCCGGGCATCCCTGAGCACCCCTGGGCACCCCTGAGCATCTCTGAGCACCCCTGGGCATCCCCAAGCACCCCTGGGCACCCTTGGGCACCCCTGGGCACCCCTGAGCACCTCTGGGCACCCCTGGACACCCCTGGGCATCCCTGAGCATCCCTGGGCACCCCTGGGCACCCCCAGGTTTTCCCCAGCCCGGGCGCACTCACGTGTAGAGCGGCTGTAGCTGTAGGTGTGACGTCTTCTGTGGCGCCTGGTAGCCGTAGGAGTCAAACCCGCCGATGAAGTCAACTGGGAAGATGAGGGGGAGCAGCAAGGTGAGCTGGGGAGGGCAGTGGGGGAATTTCCCCTGCTTCCCCACACCCCGATGGCACCCATGGGTCACCGCAGCACCCTGGGTCACTGCAGCATATAGAATCGTAGAATCCCGGAATGGTTTGGGTTGGAAGGGACCTCAAAGATCATCCAGTTCCAACCCCCCTGCCATGGGCAGGGACACCCTCCACTACACCAGGTTGCCCAAAGCCTCATCCAACCTGGCCTTGAACGCTTCCAGGGATGGGGCAGCCACAGCTTCTCTGGGCGACCTGTTCCAGTGCCTCACCACCCTCAGAGGGAAGAATTTCTCCCTTAGATCCCATCGAAATCTCCCCTCTTTCAGTTCAAAGCCATCACCCCGTGTCCTGTCACTCCAAGCCCTTGTCCAAAGCCCCCCTCCAGCTTTCTTGTAGCCCCTTTAGGCACTGGAAGGCTGCTGGAAGGTCTCCCCGGAGTCTTCTCTTCTCCAGGCTCAAAAACTCCACGCATCCCAAGTCACTGCAGCATCCCAGGACACCACAATATCCCGAATCACTGCAGCATCCCAGGTCGCTGTAACATCCAAGGAAAGTGTCGGCAAGAAACGGAGGAAAGGAGCCAGCTGGACTTGCAGAGGTCCCTCGGGATCTCTTCTCCTCACCACAACAGCCCTTGCGTTTCAGGCTGGACAAAGTGGGGAAAATTACCCTATTCCTGGCTCCAGATTGGGCATTTAAGGACAATTACGGGGGAATTACATCTGGTTTAAAATACGTCATTTTGGGGAATTGCGGACTCCGATGTATCAGTTTTCACGGCTGCGGGTCATGCCCCTCCGGGCGGCGCAGCCC